TCTGCATTTTTATCTGGCTTTTCGTTAGGAGGCATGATGACTTCTGCACTGGTTAAAGTTCGCGGTTCATTCATCGGTCTGCCACCCTTTGCCAATCACCCGGCAGAACTGTGGAAGAGGGCACGTCCTGATATGAGGCTTTCCCAGCTTCACTTCATTCTTTGGGGTTAAAGTAGTTTTCTTCTTTCAGATTTCCCAAAGATCCGTCCTGGCCTTAGAGCTGGGCTTCCTGTGCCAGGGTGATGATGACCATCCTTTTGGCTGATGTCTGGCCTTCTGCGGGTGAATCTCGCCCAGCTGTTTGATATGTCCCCCTTTCTTCCCATGATCAGGCGCCCACAGCCTGGGTTTGGATGAAAGAGATTACAATCTCCCCTCTGGATAACAGTGATGGCTGGCGAGAACGGGCCAAACTAAAGGTGGATAGGGATACCAGGCTGGAGAAGTATCCAGAGGGAGTATTAACAGGCCAACATATCATTTTCCAAAGGCCTCAACGCAGCTTCTTCATAACTCTAAGTCTCAGCACTGGCAACAGGCCTCAATTGTGCCCTTCACAGTGATGGTGTCCTCCGGGTTGTATATGCTCAAATCCTACAAAGATGAAGATTGCTATCTGAATCCACTGTTTCATTGTTCAATTTTCTTGAAATTCCTGCCTTCTTTTCCAAGTCAGGTCTTCCAACCGAGCCATTGGTGGCAAAGATTCTCCGCAGGCGAATCCTCTTCCGCTAGTTTGGTCCATCTGCTCTTTCTGCGTATTTCAGGAATCAATGCGGCAATGGCTTCAGAAGTCCCCCTGGGTGGACATGGATGGTAAACAGCTTCTCTGCAGCTCCAGGAGATTTTCTCTTTTCCCTATGGATGTCTACCTGGGACTGGGTGCTGCTTAGTGATGGTCCTTTATTGTCCAAGCCTCCTTGCCTGATGATGGCACCAACAAACTGGGTGGGGACCAGGATCCTGAACAGGAAAATCAATCTGTCTGCCTGAAAGTGCCCAGGGCTGGCGCCTGCTCCCCCGGGAGAGTGGTCCCCACAACTGGGCTCACTGAGGGGACGAAGGGGAGCTCACCTCCTTCGTACGGGGACTGTGGGGAAATCTTGAAGAAGTAGTTTCTCAAACTAGATGCCCACTTAGCTTCTCATCGTTTATTTTCTTCTCTTGTTGAATATGTGACATTGACAACAGCGTTTCTATGTCTGTGTTGACTTGTTTCTACATTCTCCACTGTTCCATATTGGCCAAAATTCCATCCACACTCCCACGGCAGGCGAGGAGGAATGATATACGAATACTGATTTTCCTGCTCCTTTTAGCATTTTTTAGAGGACTTAATCAATCCTGTTTTCCCATGCAATTCCACTTTACCCTGAGAGGGTCTCGAGGCTTCGGATGGCCACAGATTTTTTATTTTCTTGGATCGAGGTATCCACGAAGGCAATACCAGGACTTGAGCAGGATCCTGTCCCATGGGGGGCAGCATCCTGTCCCCAAAGAGGCTGCCAGAGGTCCATCGGTGTGACCATTGGGGCCCTCAGGTTCGCCAATGTAAAGCTTGTTCATCATCCATCTCCTTCCTGAGGCCCGCAGCTTCCCTAAAGCCTGGGTTAGCCATGTCACCTCCTCCGCTGCCCTCCATCTCTCCTCCTCCTCCTCCAACCACTCTCCGCCTCCACCTGCGCCACCCACTCCACCTCCAGCCTGGCCCTCACCCACTGAAGGCCCGGCCCGGCCCAGCGGGGCAGAGGCCGAGATTGGGCATTTTTAAGAATCCCGGCGCCAATACTTTCCATTTAGCTGTGATTGTTTCTCATGCTTAATTTGAGTTTAAACATTTTGGCAGGAATACCACACCGTGACTGACTTCCTTCCTTCGCTTCCCCTCCCTTCCTTCCTTCCTTCCTGTCCTTCCTTCCTCCTTCCTTCCTTCCTCCCTCGCCTCCCTCCTCTGCCGTCCCTCTCCATCTCCCTTCTCCTCCTTTCCTCGCCTCCTACCGCATTCCGGGTCCCTCCCCTTCGCTCCATTTCCAATCTGCCTGCCCTGCCTGCCTGGCCTGCCTGGCCTCCCCAGTTTCAAGGGCGATCTTCCGCGCCTCAGTACTCCCAACGTAACTGGGACTACAAGGCAGGCATGCGCCACCATGCCTGGCTAGTTTTTTTGTATTTTTTCTTAGAGACAGGGTTTTGCCATGTTGGCCAGGCTGGTCTGGAACTCCTAGCCTCAAGTGATCCACCTACCTCAGCCTCCTAAAGTGCTGGGATTACAAGCGTGAGCCACTGTGCCTGGACTGGATGACGTCTTTTTTAGTCCATCACATCAGTGCGTGATAATCGGTTTGTATTGGTGATACAAAATATTGGTGATATTAAATTCAGTCATTTGGTTAAGGTTGTAGCTGTCAAATCTCTCTGTTGTAAAAGGTTTATTTCACCCTTAGTATATAAGTGATCTGCTGGCTGAATTTACACTATATTGGTAGTTTAAAAATAGTGATTTTCAGGGTTGGGCGCGGTGGCTCATGCCTTTAATCCCAGCACTTTGGGAGACTGAGGTGGGCAGATCACTTAAGCTCAGGAGTTTGAGACCAGCCTGGCCAACATGGTGAAACCCTGTCTCTACTAAAAAATACAAAAATTAGTCGAGCTTGGTGGTGCATGCCTGTAATTCCAGCTACTCAGGAGGCTGAGGCAGGAGAATCGCTTGAACCTGGAAAGCGGAGAGATTCCCCACCGCCACCCCGCCCCCCCCACCCTCCCCCACTCCAGCCTGGACGACAGAGCAAGACTCAATCTCAAAAAATGTGTGTATATATATATGATTTTCTGTTTGTGAAATTTCTTCTTTGTTTATTTGTGGGTATTATTTATAAAGAAGAGCTGTCCTTTCCCTATGTCTATACCCCATTTGTTTTTATCAATATGGAGTTTTAAAAATCATTATATTATTGATTTTGGTCATTATTTCCTTTAATGCTCAAATTAACCCATATTTGGTCAGTGGGAGCCTCATCAAGCTTTGCCATATCCCCATCAGTTTTTTTTTGTTGTTGTTTTGTTTTTGTTTTTGTTTTTGTTTTTTTAGCATAGTTTCATAGTTTCTGGCACAGTAAGATGTTCTGTGATTACCTTTTGCTTTATTTGCCTCAGTCCCAGAATCAGCCATTATCCTAAAGAGCTCCCTGGTTCCTTTTGGTGGGTAATGGCATTCAGAAACTATGATCTGGGCACAAGATGTGTTCATTGCTACATGAATGCCTTTTGCTTCTAGGCCCTTTAAAGTGAACAGAGCTAGCAATGAATATTTTTGAGTATATGTGTGTGTATTTGTATACATATGAAGATTTGATACTGATTTCTGTAATTCCAATTTAACAATATAGGTTCTTTTTTCCCTCAGTTCATGTTTGTATCTCTTTGAGAGCCCTGGTTACTTAGAGCATCAATATGTTTCAAAATATTTACACATTTGCAGAATACTATAATATGCAAAAGTTGTTTCAGAATTGCTACATAAATACTACCATCAACAATAAATGTATTAAGTAATGTTTAAGATTTTTTTGTAATTCTTTTTATCCTTAGGATATTTTGCATTGACAGTGTTCAGTTAGAGTAGTGAGTTCAAAAATTATTTGGATTAATTTTTTAGTATCTTCTGGGTGGTTTTTTTTATTTGCTATATATATTTATATTAATACTCAGTTTTAGACATTTTCTCTCCCATTAATTGTCAAGCTGACTTATACATTAAAAATTAAACATTTACACAGTTCAAAACTCCAGTATATAAAATGATATACTCAGATGTCCCATATTTCCCTATACCTTCTCTCCTGTTTCCACTCGTCTCCTGAAGATAATCAGTTTCATTTCTGGGTTATTCTTCCTATATATCTTTTTGCAAAAATAAGCAAATGAATCATTTGTGTATATGTGATGTATATATGTACATTCTTATTTCCCCTTTTTCCTAATAGAAAACCTACTACCTTAGATGTATTCTTAAGCACGTAGCTTGTTTTACTCAACATAGTCTTAGAATCTTAAAGTCACTTCATATAAGTTCATAAAGATCATCCTTATTCTTTATTTACAGTAGTATATAGTGCCATCTGTGAATATGTTTTATTCAATCTTTTCTTTATAGCATCTAGGATGATTGCAATATTTTGCTATTATAAATAATGCTACAAAGAACAACCTGTGTGTATGTTTTCTTTTTTCTTATTATTGGAATGTGTCCTCTGTAAATTACTCAAAGGAGGCAGCAGATATCACATTATGTTAATAGCAATTAAAACTAGTGCTGTATTTTCATCTTAGGAGACTTGGACACAGTTGCAGGGCTGGAAAAAGAACTGAGTAATGCCAAAGTGGAACTTGAACTCATGGCTAAAAAAGAAAGAAAAAGTCAAGGGAGTTTTCTAGTCAAGTCTTAATTTCTAAATCCCTATTATTTTTTCTTTCAAAATAGTTTATATTTAAAAGTATATAATTTTCTAAGTATAATATCTGAGTCCAAATGCCAGGTATGACTTTTTTCTTTTTGGAGAAAAATATAAGTTATTTTATATATACATTATCTCAAAAAGATGCTCCTGTTTTTAGATTGGGACCATTAAAACTTATTAAGTGCTAGAAAACCGTAATCCTCTCTCCCCGTTGCTAAATGGAATAAAATAATTGTAAAGGCCAGGTGCGGTGGCTCATGCCTGTAATCCCAGCACTTTGGGAGGCCGAGGTGGACAGATCACTTGAGGTCAGGAGTTTGAGACCAGCCTGGCCAATATGACGAAACCCCGTCTCTACTAAAAATACGAAAATTAGCTGGGTGTAGTGGCAGGCGCCTGTAATCCCAGCTACTCAGGAGCCTGAGGCAAGAGAATCGCTTTCACCTGGGAGGCGGAGGTTGCAGTGAGCTGAGATCATGCCATCACACACCAGCCTGGGCAACAAGAGCAAAACTCTGCCTCCAAGATAATAATAATAATAATAATATTTATTATTTTTATTATTTAAAAAATAAAAAAATTAATGTTTTTATTATTATATAATAAAATAATAATATTATTATTATAAAGCATTAGTGAAAAAAGGGAGTGTTATGTGATTGCTGCTTAGAGTTATGATATTAGACCCATGAAATTAGTTTGAGAAACATGAAATGAGAAATTTGAGTATAATCAAAGTTTATCAAGTATTCATGAGCTATGTACTGTGCTAGGTATTTATTTATTTATTATTTATTTTTATTTTTTATTTTTTGAGACGGAGTCTCGCTGTGTCGCCCAGGCTGGGGTGCAGTGGCGCGATCTCGGCTCACTGCAAGCTCCGCCTCCTGGGTTCACGCCATTCTCCTGCCTCAGCCTCCAAGTAGCTGGGACTACAGGCGCCCGCCACCACGCCCGGCTAGTTTTTTGTATTTTTAGTAGAGATGAGGTTTCACCATGTTAGCCAGGGATGGTCTCGATCTCCTGACCTCGTGATCCACCCGCCTCGGCCTCACTTTGGGATTACAGGCTTGAGCCACCGCGCCCGGCCTTGTGCTAGGTATTTAAATTAGCACTAATGCTCACAACTCTACACAAAGTAAGTGGTGTCAGCCCAATTATTATAGATGAAGAAGCTGAAACACTGATTTCTCCTTTAAAATGGGAGCGGAGAATAGTCATGTAACTAATAAATGCCAGAGCTATGATTTAAACTCAAGCCTTTTGTGACTTCACATACTTCCTAAGA